AGCCGCAAAAATTTCCCTTTTGTTTTATATTACATAAAATTGAAATTCTGTGGAATTTTTTAGTTTTTCCCCCCTGTCCCTTCCCCCCAACAAAAACACCCCCCCCCCCCGGCCATTCAGCGTTAGGCTGAACATCTGGCAGCGAAAGAAACCCATTCCCTGGCATTTAATTGTACGCGGGGCTTATGAAATTGATTTGAGGGCTTAGCCTTTTACAATACCCAGTGAATACAAAACATTTCTGACAATCAATCAATGAGGGAATAATAACTCCTTATTCCTCTTTCTCTTCTCCCCCCCCCCCCCCCATTGTTACCTTTTCCCTTTCTTTGGGAGGATAAGGTTCAAATGCCAAAAAATCTTTTATAGACACCACTTTTAAATTAAGCAGAAAAATGGACATTGACACATTTGTTAATCTCACCCGGTCATTATCGGGATTCCGTAGTGTGAGGGCAGAAGGCAGTCTCCAATACACGAATGCTCGCTTCCTGGATCATGTCTACTGTCTTGCAAAAAAGAAGAGAGAGAGAGAGATTTCCTCTTAGTTTCTTTTTCTAAATGACACCATGACTCTGGTGCTATAAATGTTCACACATACCCAGTTCCAGCAGCAGGGAAGTGAGAAGCTTTTCAATCATGTTTAAAAAATTTGGGGCGTACATTGCAAGGCCTATGGAGAAGGTAAAAATATACTATGGAAGTTTGTTGCAGCTTTCAAACTAAAGCATTTTTCTTCTTTTACTCTGTTTAGCTGAACACAATGCCAGAAGGGTTTAGAAATACTCAGTTTAGAGTGTCTCTCGCAGAGAAGGTGTTGGTTAAATCTATGTTTCTTAAACTTTTTTCTCTCAGGACTCCTTTCCACTTTTAAAAAGTATGGAAGACCCCAAAAGGGCTTTTGTTTGTATGGGTTATATTTATCAATATTTACCATATTAAAAATTAAAATGGATGCATTCATAGAATATTTATCTATTGAATCATGTAAAAATAACAACATTAAGCCCATTAGATATTAACATAAATAAAACATTTTCATTAAAAAACCCTGTATTTTTTAACAAATTAAAAAAAAAGAGAAGAGTGTCATTATTTTAAATTTTTGCAAATATCTTCAGTATCTGGCAAATAAATTTGATTTCAAGGACCCCTGAGAGGGTCTTGGGAGACCCCCAGAGGTGCTAGCACCACACTTTAAGAAACACTGGGTTAAATAAAGTGGAGTAAAGATAAATGGTGTAGCTAAGTTATTAGCCTGAGCAAATCTCATCTCCTCTTAGGAGCCCAAAGGACCCTTCATGCCAGCAACTCTAAACTCTGCTCATTGCAGGAATCCAAATTAAACTGGGTTTCTGACCATCATCCTTCTAAGCAATTGGCCTCGTTGTCTAACTGCTCTTCCTGTTAGCAGGAGGGCATGACATGCAAGGAAAAAAGGAGGGGGAGGGAGAAGGAAGGTAGAAACCTCAAGTAGAGTTTTGTGTGCTGCCTCTTGACTTCACATATCTTCCTCCTCTCTCTTCCTCTGGAATTCCTTCCCCTCCTGGTTATATACTGAACTTGGTTTCTTACAAAATAGTTTTTCCTGGCTGTGATTTGAGTCTTTCCCTTGGTTGTCCCATGAATGACTGAAATAAGGTCATTAATTATCCCACTCGCTCCACCAACCCATTCTTTGTTGAAGAATTGCCTGCTTTCTTTTTGAAAAACCCTTGGCCTTTTGGAGCCCCTCACCTGATGAGAAGTGTGGGTGGGGGGATGTCTTGTTTATCAACATTTGGGGGGATTTTCTAAAAAAAACCTTTCCAGTTGATCCAACAGCTCTGAAATTTCCTTGTAGTCTCCCATCCAAGCATTAGCCAGTTCCAACCTCTGGGGGATTCACCAAGGCCAGATAAATGTTACCACCTGCTTTAACTGATTCACAAATGGCATAATGGTTTGCTTGCAGGACAGGCTTACTCTTGCTTCACCAGTCGTTTACTTAGCTCAATTTTCAAGGTAGCCAACATTTTAATTTGGAAACACTGCCAAAAGATCCACCAGTTGTGTCTCTCTTGGGAGCGCTTTTCAAATTTGGGGAACAACTTCGAAAGGCCTTTCTAATTACCATCCTTTTCTTCCTTCAAAGTGAAATTAATTTTTCCTGAAGTCTAGATACTTTAGGGATGGGCCTCCTAAAAGATCCCTCCACTCCGTAGAGCAGTGTTTCTCAACTTTGGCAACTTTAAGATGTGTGGACTTCAGCTCCCAGAATTCCCCAGCCAGCAAGTGTGAAGGTAGCTTGTTTTCTGTCTATCTGCAACAATTGATATGAAGGGAGGAAAAACCTGAAAAACTGTGTTTTTGCCAAGAGTGTGATTCCTTTTACATAATTTTATTTGGGTGTGTGTGTGAGTGCGTGCACGTGCATTTGGTTTAATCTTCTATTTAAATGGATACAGGGTTCCCTTTGTTTGGCACAAGCTTTGCTTTGTAATCTTTTGATGACAAAATACAAGTTACACAGATATGGAGAGTCACCACTCACCTTTCCTTCGAGGGCACTCAGCAGAGGTCTTCAATTAAGAGCACTGAACTCTTACATCTTACAAGGAATTGGGAACATGTAACTAATGTGTTCTCTTTAATGTCTTCTGGAGCATGCGTGTGCCTGAACAGAGGGGTTCTGAATAGAACATGCTGGGAGAAGGCAGATATTGGAACAAATACAGGAAATAGTCAGTTTGATTTCTCAAAGGATGTTTTCCTCTTGAGTTTTTTTCTTCCTTACTGGTAGAAGGTGGCTTGAATTAGTTGGTTCAGCTGGCGTGGCTGTTAATATGGCAAAAAAGTTGAGTTTTTTAATGTTAAGAACTGGGGCGTGATGACTGTCAGGGTAAGTATTAACAACGTGGGTGGGAGCAGATAAGGGGATTTTTCATTTTCTCTCCTTCTTTAGGGGAAGGGGCAAACACATGAGTTGTCAGGACAGGCAAAAAGGATACGTTTTTGCTTTTGCTTTAACCCAAACATAAAATTACACAATAAGACGCAGGGACAGCTGTTCGTTTGCTATGGCATTTTTGAAAAATATAGCTTGCATTCATAGAGGATGTGTCTGTCAGTAGCCATAAGCTACACCAGATAAGTGGAATCGTTGTTTTGGAGGAAAAATAGCTCTGAATATGAGAGGCTAAGAACTAAGGACTGCAACTGTAAATGTGGATGGCAACCTACTTGTGGTTTTCGGAAGCATCGTGCTGGCCGTTGTAGGAAGGAGGTTGCTGGCCCGAAATGAAAATGCAGCTGTTTTTAAACGATATGGTAGGAATAAAGCAAGAAAATCAGCCCTTGCAGAAGGGGCTGGCAGAGCGACCCACGGCTGATGGGAATGAGAGTGCTCCTTTCCTGCCTGTTAGAGACACCGGTTCCCAGCACCTCTGCAGCTCATTTTCTTTCCAGCCTCAACATCGACTGCCCACATCAACATCCACTGCCCACTTCCTGTACCCACCCTGTCCCCTCTCGGGGCCTTGGAAATTCAAACTTGCTTTAAAATCTGGAAGCGATCCTTCTGCACAAGCTGCGACCTCCCTAGAATTGCATAAATGCTTTCTCGGTATTTCCGTTGTCTGGCTCCTGCTGCCGATAGGCGTCTGTGTCGGGAAGCAGGATGGTGCCTCTATAGGGTGGGGTGGCCTTTGGGCCGGGGGGGTGGAATTGCTCATACGTACATGAAATGCCCCAAATAAATAATGCATTTCTGAACCTTAGGAAACTGGCTGAGTGTGTCTTCCCCTCCTGTCTCTGTGGCGCTTCCCTTTCTCTCTCCAAGTCCCTGACAAGCATCTTTACTTTTGATTTCAGGCACCCCGGAGTTAAACCCGGCTGAGCGGAAGGAACTGGAGGCCAAGCTGAAGGAACGGGAAGAATTCCTAATTCCCATTTACCATCAGGTAGCTGTACAGTTTGCTGACTTGCATGACACGCCCGGCCGAATGCAGGAGAAGGGTGTCATTACAGTAAGTATTATGAATCTTTTTCTTACTAATGCTGTCGAAAGCTTTTTTGCATTGAACTGTTGCTAAGAAAGCCCTCCCAAACCTGCATTTTGAAAGGGGAGGGGGCAGAAGAAGAAAGGTCTCAGCCAGCCTGGATTATGCCAACAGCGTGGCCTGAATATTAAAAGATTTTAAAGGACAGGTGAGGGCCCTGATAGCTTTGGAGAGATCCTTGCTGCTCTGGTTCTGAAGGTGGGAGGAGGGGGGAGCGCACTTTGGAAAGCAACAGAAAAGCTAGAATTCAGTGGAGTTCAGGTGTCTCCCATGTCTGTGCGACCATAAGAAGATGCTTGGACATCAGGTTAAAGAATTGGTCTATTCCGCTTGTAGCTAGGCAGGGAGGAAGGAAGGAAGCGGAAGGAAGGGGAGGAAGGGAGGGAAGGAGGAAGGGGAGACAGGGAGGGAGGAGACAGGGAGGAGGAAGGAGAGAGGAATGAAGGAAGGAGAGGGAAGAGGGGAGGGGAGGAAAGGAGGGAGGGAGGAAGGAAGAGGGAGGGAGGGAAGGAAGGAAGGAAGGAAGGAAGGAAGGAAGGAAGGGAGAGAAGGAAGGGGAGAGAGGGAGGGAGGAGGGAGGGAGGAGGAAGGAGAGAGAAAGGAAGGAAGGAGGGGGAGGAGGGGAGGGGAGGAAAGGAGGGAGGGAGGTAGGAAAAGGGAGGGAGAGAAGGAAGGAAGGAAGGGAGAGAAGGAAGGGGAGAGAGGGAGGGAGGAGGGAGGGAGGGAGGAGAGGGAAGAGGGGAGGGGAAAGAGGGAGGGAGGAGACAGGAAGGAAGGAAGGATGGAGAGAGGGGAGGGAGGGAGGGAGGAACGAAGGAAGGAAGGAAGGAAGGGGAGAGAGGGAGGGAGGAGACAGGAAGGAATGAACAATTAAGGGGCTCCCAGAGATGAAGGTAAAGAGACTGTGGTTTTAAGAGTCACAGTTATGCCAGTGTTGGGGCCTGGGGTTCCACAGAAGGGGGAGGTAATTCCATTGGAGAAGTACAACTGCACAAGATGCTGACGAGACCGTCCTGAAATTATCCTGGTCTCGTTTGAACACTCCCCCACCTCAGGGGTGGGAGGGAAAGGCACGGAAATCCCCTTTGCTGAATGGTGGTGAGAGGAGCTGCAGCCACGTCCCGTTCCACGGCCACCTGTTTGCAGCCAGCCCCCCTTCCCTGCTCTGAATCCCCCAGGCACTCTGATCGATTCCATTTATGCTACCTATTACACAACAAAACACGATTCTGGGTCTTTACATGTCGCCGGGCTTTGTTACACTCCGTGTCGGGTGAGCCCCGCTACGCGCCGTAACTCCTGATGCTTATGCAAAGTTTTTCTGTCCCCCCCCCCCCCTTCACTCTGTGACTGCAATGAAGTCTCGCCTGTTTATCTCTCTGACAAACCAGCTTGTAAGCCAGCATTTTGACCTGCAGACCATGGTCTCTGCCCTTGCCTTAGAAAAGCAAGAAGGGCCCAATTGCCTCTACTTTTGCAACAAGTCAGCTTGGGTGCCTCCCCGAGCCACCACCTGTGGAACAGCAGCCTCATTCGAACGCATCTGATTGAACTGGGAATCGTGGGTTGCCTGGGCACGCTTACATGGAAACAAATGCTACTGAACAAAATGGTTTTACCTGCAAGGAAATGCAGCTCTGAATCCTCCTCTTGGTTACGCTTCTTTTATTAAGCAGACGTCCGTCTTCTTTCCCCTAGAAATAGTACCTGGCTCTTGACAGAGCCTGATTGTGGCTTTAAAAAAATAACCTCTCTGCTCCATCCTGCTTGTGGGGGGAATGAGGGATTTTATGTTGCTTTTAAAAATAATTTTAAAAAAAACCCTCAGTTGGATTCATGATGGGCCTTTTCCACAAATGAAGAAACGTGGCTGGAGGCAAGGGTATCCTCTCAGTTGTTTTGGGGTTTTTTTTGTACAATGTTATTAAAGATGTTTAAAAAAGAAAATACAAACTAATATAAAGTGAGAAAAAGAAAAGAAGGAAGAACTTAAAGAGAGAGCTAAAAGTGCAAGAAAGGAAAAGGAAAAGAAAAATAGGGAAGAAAGGAAAGAAAAGATACAAAAAAGAAGATAGCTTCCGATCTTCTTTACAGCAGTTATAAGTACAATTATAAATTTACCTCTTACACTATGGTTCCAACATAGCTCTCTTCTTTCTATAACCTATTCTGTCTAATCATCAAAACCATAAACCATAAGTTCATTTTTCCCGTTTTCTGCAAAAAGTCCATAAGGGGTTTCCAGTCAGCAACAAACGTTAGATATTGTCTCTCGGATTCTTCTTCTAGATGGCCTTGCCTTTTACCCCGCCTGCTGTTCCCAAGCAGTCCGTAATTCCAAGCTTTTTATCTTTCCCAGTTCCCGTATCACTTTCAAGTCTGGGCAGGATGAGTTTTTCGGTAATCAGGGGAGAGGGGTGGGGGCAGAAGAGAGAGCAAAGATGACCAGGTTCAGAAAGAGGTAGCAAAACACATGGGCAGAGGGGATGGGTTCGTTCTCCAGAGCTCCCAGGGGAAGGGCAAGAGCCACGGGGAAGGTCTGCAGAGGGAGACGCAAATGGGACAGGAGGAGGAATTTCCTGGCTGTGAAAGCCACGGAACAGCCTGCATGGTGGGGGTCCATCACTCGAGGTTTTCAAGAAAAGGTTGGGCAATCTTTGGGATGGTCCGAGGATTCCTGCCCTGGGCAGGGGGCTGGACTAGATGACTTCCAAGCTCCCTCCCAACCCCAGGATTGTGTTCTCCTCATAGAGAGTGTGTTTGGAAGCAAAAAAAAAAACACAAAAAGGCCTGTGGAAGCCAACGTCATGTTGCGTTCCCATATCAACTTGAGGTAAAATGGCATATGGCCCCAACGACTAACTGATGCGGTTACGGGGGAGTTAATTGCTCTCCTTTCAGCTCTTTCCCAATAAAACCATTTTGCACAGGCGGGGAGGAGACCGTCCCTCCGTCTTACATGATTGCCCGAGCAACTTAAGAATTTGTGTTTGACAGAAAAATGCACCATGTAGTAATTTTCGCTCGGAAAAAGCAATTTTGCCTCTGTGTACCCAGATTTATTTATTGATCTCGAATATTTACATTCTGCCTTTCAAGCCTCCAAGGTGGCTGACGATAAGTGAAAATGAATACATGATAAACATCCCATTGTTTTGACGGGGAGATTAGCTCTGTCTTGAAAAGTAGCATCCATAATGTAGATTAGAGCAAATCTCGTCATGTTGGAGAGATACTGGTGGAATGAGTGGGGGCTTCCTCCCCCATCAGCTCTTCATGCTATAAAACATCCTCCGATCTTTGTTCCTTTGTTTTAGTTACGGAGGGTGGTTCTTGTATCTTCACCTGCACAGGCTTAATCCAGAACTGCTCTGTTGTGGGTTGGGTGGGACGCGCGGCCTTGATCCTCCACTCTCATTGTGAGCTCTCCTCTCTGCACTCTTCTTTCCACCCCTAACGCACCCAGGATGTCCTCGAATGGAAGACGTCCCGTTCGTTCTTCTACTGGAGAATACGGCGCCTTCTTCTGGAGGACTTGGTCAAGAAAAAGATCCACACTGCAAATCCTGAACTGACCGATGGCCAGATCCAGGCAATGCTGAGACGCTGGTTTGTGGAAGTCGAAGGCACAGTTAAGGTACCCCCTGATACACGTTGATTGATTTATGTCTGCCTCTTCCTCTGCCTCGTGACTGTTTTGGTTTGTTGGTTTCACATCACCCTCATGGCTATAAAATGAAAATGCTTGGGGGAGAACCTGCTGAAATCTTAGATCAATGTGGGATCAGGGAAAATAGCTAGAATTTTTGTCTGGAGGTATAATTTACCTACAAGAAAAAATGATTAAAAAAGAAGAAAACACGGCCAGGTTGAGTTAAACCGTCACAAAGTGCATAATTTATTCAGGTGCCAGAATTTGGGCTATTCTTGTGCGTAATTTTAGAGCAGAGGATGATTGATGATTGATATATTCTCTTCCATTTAGATTAATTTTAACACCGAAGAGATTTGGGGGGTTGGAGGTTGTTATGAAGAAGCCTGTGTAATTATAAGCAGGCCTTATACAGCAGTGACTAGGAAGAGAAATTTACAGGGAAAAATAATTAAACTTATTGTAATATATCCTGAGCTCTCTACAGAGGGCAGCAACTAAGCCTCCACAGAAAGATATTCATGTACTTAAGTCAGTGTTTCTCAACTCTGGCAACTTTAAGACATGTGGACTACAACTCCCAGAATTCCCCAGTCCACACATCTTAAACATTGCCAAGTTTGAAAAACACTGACTTAAGAAGACTGGTTCTGTTTGATTTGGTTTTGGTCCGCTGCATAGACAAATCCAGTCGGTTCCACATCCTGTGCCAAAAAAACCTGAGTTTTAGTGCAGCCAGTCAGACTATACTTGATCGACAGTTTCAAAGCACACAGTTCTTATTTCATCTCCATGTTTGGTAGAAGTCTACTTAAGCCAAACAAAAACTAAAAATACAACAGAGAACTACGTGTACATTTCTTGAAAATGGAAACTATGTATGGACTATCTGGCTCCCATCTTGGTTAGCTAGACTTTTGACAATGAGGTTCTGAAGCTCAACTGTCTGCTTTGTAGGTTACCTGAGTGGTGTAATAACTACTTTTTTTTTTTTTTACTCCAGTATCATATGGAGGTATTGTTACTTATCCATCACACCAGCTTAACCATGTTCTGTGGACACTCAATGGAGTCCTGCTGGCTTGGCAGCACAGAAAGTTTTCTAAAGACTCATGAGTTCAGGTCATTTAGCCAAGCACTCATGATCCCACCCCTTTTGAGCGTAAGTGATTGTTCCCATGATAGGCCAGTCCTTCAGAAAAGATTCCCTCCACACTAAAATGCTGAGAAGGAAGGTCCTGGGTCCCATCAATCCAGTTGACAGGTACAATCAGGTCCAGGTCTCTTCTAAAATCTGGTAAGGACCCTCAAACCAAAATTCTATCATTTCCCTAGGAGTTGTTGCATATTTAAAGCTCTCGTCCTTCCAGTTCCAGGAGAAGGAACTGTAGTCTTTTCTACCTTGCTAATAGGAAATGGGCAGAGAATTAAAGCTTCTATTAGAATTCTCTTCTATTAGAATTCTCTTCTATCAGAATTAAAGCTTGCTTAGTGTCTTCTCTATCATATTTTTAAGTATCAGCAGTGTTTCCTTCCCCGTTGCGGTTAGCAGTTGGCACTCTCCAGAGCTAATAGCTGGGCATCTGGTTTTTGAAGTAGGAAAAAATTAGAGATCCTATTAAACTGGAAATGCTGCAAAAGGGAGAGAATGTGTTTGCGTTGGGGGGGGGAGGTGGAACTTGTTTTCTGGAGAGTTGAGAGCTTTTGAAGGTAGTGCCTTAGCGGCTTTATTATTATTTTTTTTAAGCCAGGCATCTAGTTAGCTAATACATTACACCAATCAAGGAGAGTTATCTTAAGCCACAATTAATCTGCTCCCTGGCATATGTTGATAGGAAAGCATCATGCTGTTTCTTAATTAAAGGCAAACGGATTAAAAATGATTAATAAGGGTATTAAATATTCGTCTAAACTAAAGCTTTGGGAATCTTGGGCAAATCCTTGCTTTGCTCTGGCCTACCAAATGGCAGACATTTGCAGCTCAGAAGGGACAAGGTGGGCCTGCAACGGGACAGCCCTGAGCTGCCTCATTGATCACTTACAAGCACCTTGATTTGTATGAGGGAATATGCTGCTGATAGCCCTGAAATGCCAAAATAACATTTCATTCATTTATTTATTTATTACATTTGTATGCCGCCCATCTCCCCCGGCAGATAAATGTGAACCGCTTGGCAGCTGTTTTGATCATTAGCTTTGACTACCATGGATTTCATAAAAGCACCAACTCTCTCACTTCACTTTGCTGAATTTTGTAAGAAAATAACTGGGAGGGCAGGCAATCTGTTCATTCAAGAAATAATTCTCCCTTTTACGGGACACCAGTTTAATTCTTTTTCTTGGAAAAATCACAAAGCAGACATATTGGAAAGCTATGTGAGTTGAAATCAAAGTCCCCCCTCCTTTTAAATCTTATGTTTTACAATATGGATGGCATTTTAATTTTTTAAAAGCTTTAAGGCTTGGTTGCATCACTGGGACAGAGAATGCCGTAGAATTCCCCAAGATATAGCATTGTGAGGAATGGTGTATCCTGTCAGTTAATATTCAGTTATCTCATTCTTAGAAGAATATTTCTACTTTAGTGTCACATTTTGGTAATACCAGAATCCCTGTAAAGGTCATCAGTTGACTATTAGCTCATTAAGTAACCAAAGATAGTTCACATAAAATACTGTATAATCTATGTGATATTTCAAACATTTATTTACATTAATGTACTGATTCTTGGCCATAAAAGCATTTTCATCATGTTAAGTCCCAGGAACATTATAAAATAAAAGGGTTGCACCAAAACAGGAAAGAGAGAAATGCTTTTTGCAATTTATTTCAACACTTGTGAAATGCAATTCTCCCAGTGGGGTGCAGTAGTTAAGATGTTGGATTGGGAGCAAAAAAACTCACATCCAAGTCAACCTTCAGCATGGAGTTCATTGGGGGACTGGGGGCCCCTGACCTTCAGCCCATGTAAGCCAACTTTAGTTCTTGGAAAAAAGAGTGACATAAATGTAACTCTGGTCTGTTTTTTGTAAAAATTTGGCTAGTTTGGCATAAACATCTTTAAGTTGCCAAGGATGAGAAACATTTCCCTATACAGGCATACCTTGGAGATATTGCGGGTTTGGTTCCAGACCATTGCAATAAAGCAAATATCACAATAACACAGTAACACAATTTTTTTGGTTTTTCAGTGCATATAAAAGTTATGTTTACACTCTACTGTAGTCTATTAAGCTTGCAATTAAGCACACCTTAATTTTAAAATTTCTTAAAATAGGACAACAATGAAGTTTGCTGCATCGATTGACTCTTCCTTTCATGAAAGATTTCTCTGTAGCATGCAATGCTGTTTGATAAATGCAATATCTGTGAAGCACAATACAGGTAGTCCTTGACTTACGACCATTTGAAGATACAGCGGCACTAAAAAAAGTGACTTATGACTGGTCCTCGCACTTACGACTGTTGCACCATCCCCGCAATCACATGATCAGAGTTTGGGCTCTTGGCAACCAGCGTGTACTTACGATGGTTGCAGCATCCCAGGGTCATGTGATCATTATTTGTGGCCTTTCCAGCTGGCTTCCAACAAGCAAAATCAATGAGGGAAGCCAGTTTTGCTTAACAACCATGTGATTCACTTAATGACCGCAGCAAAGAAAGTCATAAGCAAGGCTCGCTTATGTTTTGGTCCCAATTGTGATTGTAAGTCAAGAACTATCTGTAAAGCAAAGTGCAATGAAACAAGGTATGCCTGTAGTATAAAAGGAAATGCTTAGAAAACACCTAAAGCAAAAAGGAGATCTGTTGTGAAATGTATCAGTGTGTTTTCCCCCCTAACTTGGGTGAATTTTAATATCCTTTTATAAAGACTGTTCACCCCTCTTTTCCATTCCTCTGGATAAAATTTTGGAAAGTGATTTTTTGGGGGGGGGGGCAGAATCAGTACAATTTGGTTATGACTTATATGACCTTGCAGGAATTGAGGCAGATGAAGCCTACTCCCCCCGCCCGCCCAGGCTCGCTCTCAGCTATTTATTTCGATTCAGTAAATTTCATCCGAACAGAAAAGCAGGAGAGCATCACCTAGCATGGCATTCCACATCTCTGTTCCTGAGATTTTTTCTTTTTTCCTGAAAGAGGAAATGTCTCGTGGTCAGGGTTGCATCCATTGGTAAAGAAACCGTACACAAAGGGGATGAGCGGAGAGTGAAAATCATACAGTTGCTGCCGTGTGAATTTTGAACTTTGCCTTCTTTTTAAAAATTGCACGCAAGTGAAAAAGTCAAATGCAGGGGCTACATGGCGTAGATTCAGTCCCCAAAGGGCCAACTTGTTCCGGATTATCCCCGGAGCTCCCAAAGATGTCCTGTGGCTGCTGAGGCTCCAGCCAAGCTCTTCCCCTTACCCGGTGCCTTCGCTGGCCAGCGCTCACATGGCACTGACCACTGCAGAGGCGAAAGGGTGACCCTTCAAGGGGCCGGCAGCTGTTTCCAACCGTGAAGCAGCTCCTGGGCTGGAGCTTTTTGACGCGGAGGCTGCTATTAAATCAGGGTGCAGAATTCATTGTCATTCTGACTTGGACTTCATTAGCAATATAACAGAGAAGGATTGTGCACCTTTAAATGATGAGCTTTTGTGTTTAATTACCCAAATAAAATGACATAAATATGAATGAGCACTAATGGTGGTACTTGGGGTTTTTTTCCCCTGGAAACCATTAACGATTCTTAAATGATTTGTAAAGAAAATGAGAGGCAAAGAGAAGCAGTGAGATGGCTATTAGGGTTCAAACACACTCCTGAATTATTATATAGTCAACTACCTAGCAAATACAGAGAACTAAATGATCTTGATCTTGCTCCCTCCTAATTTTTTTTCCTTCTAAATTTACTGCTAGTCTCCCCCCCCCCCCAAGGCCGACAGCATTTTGATCTCTCTTCTGATGTTCATTAGTTCAAAAATGGGGATTGGCTTCTTGACTGCGTACAAGTAAGGAAGACAGAAGATTTCTGTCTTGCAGAAATCGCTAAGGTTATTCTTGCTTCTGTTAGAGCGAATCGCCCACAAGGACTAGAAGCACACATACTGTAAGCAGGGCCACCCACCCTGGCCCTTTTTAAAGTAGCCCTTAAAACATGGTTCAACAGGCCTGGGTTAGAATGGGTAGTAGACCCTTTGTGGGGCGTTGTTGTTTTATAATGGATTATTTTCTCCAGACGCTTCAGTGATATTTTTGTGTTTTTATTGTTGTTCTAAGTTGCTCAGAGTAGTAACAGATTGGGGCAGCCTGTAAATCAGACAAGTAAATAAATCCGCAATTGGAAGCTACGACATTAGACACTTTTAACAATATGATTAAAGCTAGCTAGATAGTTCAGCTTTCCTGCTGCTGCATAAATAATTTCTGGAATTTATACGGATAGAATTGGAGAAGCCTGTTGAGGAGGCGAGGCAGTTATCTTACCTGATTTAGTGCTCCAGAGAATTCCTTTCTGTTAGCTGCAGCACATGAGAATTGGTGTCTAATGACACCTCGGAGGGCCACAGGTTCCCCACAGCCACTAGAGAAAAAGGGTGGTGGCCTCCCTGGGGGTTGCCAAGAAACATCTGGTTGACTCCCATATGATCCAGACAGCAGCTGCTTCTCCTTCTCCTTCTTGCTTTCTCTTTCACGCTGTTCTCCCCCCCCCAAAAAAAGCTGATGTACCTCTAGTTTAATTGGGGCAGGAGATAGCAGTGTGGCTTCAGCATGTGAGTCAGGTGACATTTGGATGGATTAGGCTAGCTTGGGGCCCCACTGGATAGGAACAGGGGACCAGAAGACCTAAGTGGTGGACCAAGCAAGGAAAGTTACATTAGAAGGAAGGAGAGCAAGGTAGCTTTGACAAACGCAACTGAAGATTTTCTAGCGGGGCAGAGCCTTGTCTAAAGACATAGAGGCAGCTTTTTATGCTCTCTGAAGACCACAGGGCCCCCAGACTCTTCCCAGCCTTATTTGGGAGGTTGAGGTTGAACTCTTTGCAAGCACAGCAAGTCCTCTGCTCCCTAATTACAGCTGTTCTTTAAATCATGCCTTCGTTAAGCTCGTCAACAGCTCTAGCTTTTTCTTGGCAGGCCTACTTGTGGGATAGCAACAAAGACCTAGTGGAGTGGCTGGAGAAACAGCTGGCAGAGGAAGAAGGTGTCCGCTCAGTGGTTGACGAGAACATCAAATACATTTCCAGGGACTACATACTCAAACAGATACGAAGGTAAGACAGCTCTACAACACTCAGGTGCTTCATTTTCCATCCACTTGAGATGGAATTCTGAAATAGGGGTTTCTATAAAATGCCAGTGGTCTATCTTAGAGTTGCTGGCTAGGAAAAACCTGCAGGGTTGATTAATTTGGAATAATAAATATGAAACTTAACTCTTGTGGTTTCCCAAGATCTCTTGTCTACCTCTGCCCACTGCATACACCTTCAGGACCTTTTCAAGGTGACCGCTAAGGCTTCTTCTGCTTTGCTATGAGCTACATAGACCTACTTGCTTCTCTGATCACAGAGCTAAGCTCCCTAAACGGAGTGTCCACCGCTTCTGAAATCGCTTTCTTTCCCCTTTCCTCTCCTAGCTTGGTCCAGGCTAATCCAGAGATAGCCATGGATTCCATCGTCCACATGACCCAGCACATATCACCAACCCAGCGGGCCGAGATCGTGCGCATTCTTTCCACAATGGACTCTCCCGCCTCCACGTAAGAGGATGTCCCCATCACAGTGGGAAAGAAGAGGCTGCTTGCTGCTCTCAACCTCACAACATGGACCTGCCAAGAAATGCTGGAAATTGACTTTTTAATTTTTTTAAAAAATCAGACTTCAATGGAAGACAGCCTCCTTCTAGTTGCAAAAGACTCTAGGAGTGCAGGCTCCCCCTAAAATAATTTATGGATGTCACATAATCGTACCTATTTATTTAACAGAAAGTGACTGGACCAATATTGTAACTAATGGTTGTTTGTACAGCACTTATCCAGAGATTAAGAATGGTCCTGTTGTACCACGAGGTCATAATTCAAAGCGGGGGCGGGGGGAAAGATGAGGGGCTGATGTTCGTTTTTGGCCAGTTTGTCTGTTACTAAACGTATCGCCCCTCGAAACCCAAGATGCCCCAAGTTTGCCAACAATCGTGGTAAACAAGAGCCACACTTCTTCTGCTTAGGAGCTTTGCTTAGATTCCCCCCGTTTTTCACAGGGCCCTCCAGTTCATGCACTAGTCCCGCAGGAGACGGGCAGTGAAAGAAAAAGATTCCCACGTGCTGGAAGCAGCATGGCGAGACCACCATTTCTGTGCCTAGAGGGCGGCTGTCAGACTTCACTTAGCTCATCCCGTAATCAGGAAAGAGCATTTCCCTCCGCCTCGAGGCAGGGACAGGCCCGTTCTGCCTCTCTGAGACACTGTTCAGCGCAACTGCGCTCTCCTCCACAGACAACTCCGCCTTGGCTGGGCTCCCTCCATTCATTCCGTATTTGTCCGCAAAGCAGCCAGAGGTAGCGCTATGGTGGAGCCTCAGGTCCCGAAAACCATGGACGCAAGTAGTCTTTGGGGGCCAAACAAGTCTATCGCGCAGCACCACGTGTTCCAGGGCACGCTGGACCAAACCCAGCTTGTGCGTGCCTCTCTTATTTAAGGTATCGTGCCTCTCCCTCTCCTGAGGTCCACAGCATTGGTTGCTTGGGGGGGGGGGCAAGTTAGTGCCACCGAATAAGGATGAGCCAGCAAGTCTTTGGCTTGCTGGCACCCCCTCCCCTCCCCTCCCTCCCTGCTAATTTCCTCCTCATGCTTTGCTCTAGGAAGGAAGTTTTACTTCAACATGAGAATCTGTCCAAACGAAAATGGCCTTAATTCAATTTGGAAAGTTGCTACTTGTGGCCAATAAAAGAAATCCCTCCTTTTTAAATATGAGCAGAACAGCCCCGCTGCATCCAGTCCACTGGCTGGAGAAGCACCAGAGTGTCCCTTCATGCTGCCTCCAGACAGGAAGAGGGGAAGAGCTAGAAACTGCAGTTGGCTTTTTTGGGGGGGGGGTGTCAGCAAAAGAGGGTCCTGGTGGCTCCGAGGGCAGGCGAGCTTTTTTGCAGACATGCAGGGCTGGAGAAGCAGCACTGAGTAAAACCTGCAGGATGGGATTTTGGAATTGTGGTAGGAACTGGGGGGGGGCATGAGCCTTGCTGTTTGGAGAAAGTGTCTGCCCCAGGTCCATTAACAAGATTTAGGAGCCCCTTTTCAAAATCGGCTGCTCAACTGGTCAGAGAGCATTTCCTTTCTCCTCGCAGACACACCATGCCTATATCATGCGCCTGGGAGACCCTTCAGATGTACAGCTGACTCCTGCCTCTGGGTCTGTGGCTGTGATGGGAGAGGCTGCCCTTGGCTCCCGCCCCCCAGCCCCTGACTGAAGCCAGCCTTAGCTCCAAGTGGGGAGGGGGAGCAGCAATAAAAACACCAGATGCTTTAATTTCCCTTCTAAACCAAGAACCCAATTTCCCTGTTTAAAAAACAGTAATTTGGAATTAATGCTGTTGGTTTTTCATACATTGCAAAGCACTAAAATTCATCCTGCTCAAGCATAATACAAAAATAGAGGGGGGTAGGAAATCTAATTTGGGGTCTGGGTTGAAAGGATCCTTATATCACAGTATAACTAACCAAGCTTCACTAAAAATCAAGATCGAGAAGCTAGTCCCCATGCACGTGTTTTTTTTTTTAAACCTGGAAAAAGTGCCAAGCGTGTGAAATGAAACTCTCACTATGGCTCAAGGAGCACACTCTTCCCCAACTTCCAGATGTGTTGCAGTCCAACCCACACTCCCCAGAAACTGCGGCCAGAGATTACTGGCTGAGAATCATAAGAACTGACATCCTGAGCATCTGGAGGGCTGTAGCAACTTAGAGCAGGCTGGAGACATCAAAGCCCCCTGGTTTGAAGGGCGGTGGAAATTCTTCAGCAAACCACTTATTTTGTGATGAAATAATGCCATTCCACATAGTTCATACTCAAAAATGTTCCACAAGAAGGCTGCTAAGGAGTCTCAAGGCTCACTTATGGGACTGGTGGTGGGGATGGTTGGCTTCAATCTCCATCAGATCCTTCCTCCGGGGTTCTGTTCAGTGCCTTTCTTTTTTGAAACCCTCTTCCATTATTTCTTCCTTAGAGAAAATATAGGCCTCAGTCAAATCTCTCTTGACAGCAAAAGAGAGAAAGGTTCAGCTTAACTCCAGGATGACCCAGCTTGCAGAGAGCACAGGGCATTTGAGATTATTTTTCGAAACAACGCCTAGAACAGCCAGGGAGTCACATCTATCCAACAAACCTTTTAAGAGCTGAGTCTAGATTCCCATGGCCATCTTTGCCTTTTTTTTCTTCCTTCCCTCCTTCCCTCACACAAAACATACGCACTGACGTGTTACAAAGGATTCCTTGTTTCCACCAGCTTAAACCTTAAACTGGCCATTACTTTCGACACCACGTCAACTCTTTTTTGCAGCTGCCTTTGGAGGCTGCCAAAAGAACCACTGTGGAAAGGCGACCTTCTCAGCATTATACCTTGAATTCTAGTCCACCAAAGTTAGGAAATCAACAGATCATCACACACGGTTGAGGAGGGGAGAAAAAAGGGCAAAGACGTATATTCTGGCTCCTTCCTTAATCTGCTCAGTCCCTAAAAGTTTCTCAACTGTGGCAGCTTGAAGATGTGGGGACTTCAACTCCCAGGATTCCCCAGCCAGCATGGCTGGCTGGGGAATCCTGGGAGTTGAAGTCCCCACATCTTCAAGCTGCCAAGGTTGAGAAACCCTGCCCTAAAAGATGCAGCAATCATTATGTCCTTAGTGGAAATAAACTCGGACGAACCTCTTGCTGGAAGTATTAAGTGGCTTCTGTTTTGAGAGAATTGGCAGGTCTGGAGTTGTTTCACTTACCTCAACTTTCTTTTAATAAAACCAACAATCAATTTGTGTCTGTATTCCTTGGTGTGACTTTCAGGCGTAAAGGGGTCTTTGGACAACAGGCAGTGATATCCAATATCCAGGAACCCACTAAACTCTATGGCCGCAGAGGACACTTTTGGAGACAGAGTGCCCAAAGTAGGCCTTGTTTGATCACCAGGCAGTAGGCAAAGTCTCATGGGTTCCTCTCTCCTACCACATACAAGTAACACCAGCTTAACAGAAGGCAGACTGGTCAGAGTGGAGCCCTTGGTGCTTCGTTTGCCCATAGATGTTTCATTACCCAACTAGGTAACATCGTCACTGACCAACAACCAAGCTCAGAGAGCACCAAGGACTCCACAGTTCAACCCTGAGCTACAGATATTTTCTTCTGTCGGTTGATGTTCCTCACCACTCCAACTTAGCCCTCCGGGATACACTGGGTTTGCTCACACAAACCACTTTATCAGGCCGCACAGCGATCCAGCAGATGCATTCCCCAAACCCACTAAGCTTGCTTAGTCTTCATTTGGGTTATTTTAAGCACGAAAGCAGCCAGTCTGATCAGTTTATGGCTCAATGCATTGGGTAAATCTGAAAATGGGCTCTGTGAATACCCCAGCTGTCAACTTCAATCTTGTCTTTTTCTGGGCAGGTGAGCCCTTCTACAAAGCAAGCATTGGGCTCCTCTCCTCCCCAATGAGTGTTTATGGGCCCCATGGGACTCCAAGGGCATTCTTGGGAATACAGCCGATTCTGGAAGTGGTGCTTACCTTGCAGTGAGCCAACCCTACCGGTTGCATGCTGCAAAAACATGGGGGCAGACACCAAGAGACCTGTGCAGGCTCCACGGCCATAGGGCTTACCCCTGGCTCCCCTTTACAGAAAGGTCTCCTTTGTTGTCAGGTGGAGGAAACAACTCTGCGTTTAGTTTAGCGGTTCCCATCTAAAGTTCAGGGGCCCAACCAACCCACACACATTACAAAGAGCAGTGTGTTGATGTCAGCTTTTTGGGGTAATCCAGACAGGAAACCAAAACCATGAGTACCAGCAGGATCTTTACAGAATTTTGCAAGTCTGAAAGTACATCCCCCCTCACCTGCCTGCATTTTCCAGAGAACTAGGGAGGGTCCCTTCTGGGGTATTTTCTCCACCCCCACCCCTCCTTTGGACTCAGATTTCTCTTATCAGACCACTGTCTAGGCTGCGGCTCTTCCTCCTGTCTTCCAGGGTGATTCCCACATACCTTTACAGCTACAGAACAACACAATGCCTGTTCTACTTTTTCTCTCTCTCTCCCCCCCCCCCACCTGTTTGACTTGACTTCCACTTTTTCCCTCTGCTTTTTCCCTGATGGCTTAGGCCTAGGCTAGCAGATGATATAGCTGCCCCGAGAGCTCCCGTAAGGGAAAACAGTTGCAATACACAGAAGAGGGAGTTCATCTATCCTTCACCTCCACACTCCAGCTTGCTAAAAGTAAAGCTCCTTCAAGCTGAGCTCTGGTTGGCTTCAGCAGTTTTCTTGGCAATAATACAGAAGCTTTAAAAAGGAAAAAAAAACCTTAATCTAGACTACAGCCCAAGGATTTTCTGGTGGTCTCCCATCCAAACACCGATGCAGACCCAGCCCTATGTAGCTTTCTGAGATCAGCCAGTGTTGCCTACATACCGCCATCTAGACGGCCTTAGCAGGGAATAGGATAGATAAACTAATACATCTGTCCAAGAATAGTTCAGCTCATCTTGTTGTGCTGTTTTCCATAGATTAAACCTAACAGCATTGTGTAAAGCACACGTGATGTGATTTTTATGTTTAAGTTTAGCAAAGGCTGCGGGCAGTTACATGGACAAATTAAAATTCTATTTGCATAACAATTTCAGGGCTTTGTGTTTGTAGAGTGGACACTGAATGCGGACTGTATCGCTAATGCAAGTGGAGTTATTCTGAATGGTCTCTACCTTTTTTACTGATGCTTTGGATCCAACAAAACCCACCTCTTAACATTCAGGGAAAGTGGGGGTGGCTGAAACAATTTCATGCATTAAACTGTTTTACAAATGGCTGCACG